AAAAAAAAAAAAAAAAAAAAAAAGAAGAACACAGTGAGAAAACAGATGTCCCTGAAACAGGAGTGGGCCCTCACCAGACACCGAATAATCTGCCAGCACCTTGATCTTAGACTTTCCAGGCTCCCGAACTGTGAAAAATAGATGTGTGTTGTTTACAAGCCACCCAGCTCATGACAGTGTGTTGTAGCAACCCTTCCAGATGGACACAGACCATCACCGAGAGGCCGAGGCAGCCTGTCTCTGAGCTTTTCTTCTAAAAGCCACCTCTGCTACTGCGCTGACCACCAGGCCAACGTGTCCCCAGGAACCTGGAAACATAGGAGTCTCAACCATGTTCTCCCCTCTCCCCCTCTGAGCGGAAGGGGCGGTACAGCCTGGAGACAGAGGGGTCTCTACAATGTCCTTCCCCTACCCACTGAGCAGAAGGGGTGGTAGAGTTCTGTTGAGGGGAGCTGAGAGGACCCTGGGAAGAAGGGCCCCTCACCGTGTCCAGGGAGGGAGCCAGCCATCCCTTTCCCTCCAGTACTTTCAGCTTCGAACCCGCAGCTTCCACCTGGACCACGACGCCTTCTAGCACCATCTCCAGCTGCAGAACTCTCCTTGCAAGCCTGTTCAGGATTTGAGAGAGGCCAGTGGAGCAGAACTATGTCTGGGGTTTGGGTGTCTGCAGGGGCAGGGGCAGGGGCAGAGAATGGCATGTGTCTGGGCCGGAACCAGGAAGGCAACACCCAGCCTTGCAGGGAGAATTAAAGGGGTGCAGGGGCTCTCCCTGGGCCAGGACAGGGAATTGGAAAGCTGTGGAAGAAACTGAGCCTGGGATATTACAAACGTGGTCGCCCTGGGCCCTGGCTGCACGTACAGGTAGAATTCTTCTGCCGAAACACAGCCTCCTGCTCTGGCGGCCCCTGGGCCCGTCTCGCCCTGTGGGCCACCCACTATGGACCAGCCCAGGTTCTCGATCTCGGCGTTGAGAGCCACCTGCTCAGAAAACCAGAGGTCAGAGGCGGGGAGAAAGTGACTCTGGGAAGTCATCAGCTCCTCCTGTGTCATCTGCTCAAGGGGCTCTCAGGACCGCACCTTGAGTTCAGTGCCTGTTCCCCTTCCCTCCCAGACTCTGGAGACAGCAGGGTCAGGGTGGTGGTGCTGGACCAACCCGTGGCGGGGGAGTCACCTCCCAAAGAAACACATCACAAGCTCCTGAAAGCCTTGATCAAAGAGCTGGTCACCAGAGGCCAGCTCATTCAGGGAGCCGAGGGGCCGTTCTAGGATTCCTAGTGCCTTCTCTCTAGGCTGTGGTCACCCTACCCTTGGCTTTTGGTCCACACTGGATAGGGATGGAGCGGGCAGAGGAGGGGCAGCAGGGTCAGGGTTGGAAAATCCCAAGGAGAAGGCAAGTCCTCCCAGGGCACTAGTAGGGATTCTTGGGCATTCAGTCCTCCCCACCCCCACCCCAGGACTGCGTTTTGGAGCAATAGTTCTCCATCTTGGCTCTGCCTTGGAGTCACCTGGGGAGTATTAAAAAGTACTCATGGCCAGACGTGATGGCTCACACCTATAATCCCAGCACTTTGGGAGGCCAAGGTGAGAGGACTGCCTGAGCCCACGGGTTTGAGACCAGCCTGGGCAACATGGCGAGACCTCATCTCTACAATAAATCAAAGCATTAGCTGGGTATGGTGGCGCGTGCCTGTAGTTCCAGTTACTTGGAAGGTTGAGGTGGAAGGATCGCCGGAGCCCAGCAGATAGAGTCTGCTGTGGCCGTGAGCGTACCACTGCACTCCAGCCTGGTGGCAGAGTGAGACTCCAACTCAAAAAAAAAAGTACTCATGACCGGGTCCCACATTCAGAGATTCTGATTTAATGGCTCTAGGGTGCTGAGGTGTTTTAAAGGCTCCCCAGGGCTCCGGGTGTGCCAGGGTGGAGAGGCTGAGTACTCTCCTTACTCTCCCCTACCCCTCACCCCTAGCCGCTCACCCTCTCCTCCTCTAAGTCCTGGCACATCTGTTTTTGCTCTTTCTGGTCCAGAACGCCATTCCCGTCTTGGTCAAACCTGGCGAAGGTAGCTTTGAGCTCAGTGACCTCGTGCTCTGCGTGTCCCAGTCTGAGGAGGACAGGGTGGTGACATGACTTCCGCCCTGTCGTGGCTGTGGCCTCTCAGGAGTGGACTCTCCACTCTTGCTAGACTCTGGCAGGGGTCTTGCTTTCTGGGAAAGAAGGATCCCCAAAGTCTAGCAAGCTTGGACCTATTTCTTCATTGCTTTTTTTTTTTTTTTGAGTTGGGGTCTCACTCTGTCGCCCAGGCTGGAGTGCAGTGGCTCGTTCACAACCACTGCAGCCTCGACCTCCTGGGCTCAGGCGATCCTTCTGCCTCAATCTCCCAAGTATCTGGAACCACGGGCACACACAACCACACCCAGCTAGTTTTTTAAATTTATTGTAGAGGTGCGGTCTTGTTGTGTTGCCCAGGCTGGTCTTGAACTCCTGGGCTCGAGCAGTCCTCCTGCCTTGGCCTCCCAAAGTGCTGGGCTTACAGGCATGAGCCCCTACACCCAGCCTTCTTCCTTCCCACCGCACTCCTGACTGGGCCCCTCCGCACTCCTGACGTGTGCCCTCCTGTGGGGATTACTACAGGATCTCTTTGCCGCTACACAACCTGCCATTCCCGGCTTCTCCCTCCATCCTCCATAATACAACCAGAGCAATCCGTCTTTCTGATATGCAGGCCTGAATAGATCCCTCCCTGCTTACAATCCCCTCAGGGTTCCTGGTTCTTTGGGCAGTGGTGGTGTGTTTGAGGCCTTTCCCATGGTGGCCCTCGCCCATTTTTGTGGCCTCACCTCCTGCGAGGACCCATCCTTTATTCTGAGGACTAAGCCTGACCTTTCTTCCCCCCTCTAACCCAAATTCCACCATACCCAACTAATTTTTTGATTTATCGTAGAGATGAGGTCTTGTCAAGTTCAGGCTGGTCTCGAACCTATTGGCTCAGGCAATCCTCTTGCCTCCGCCTCCCAAAGTGCTGGGATTATAGACATCTGCTACCATGCCCAGCCAAATTCCTAACTAAAAGGCTTGGGGAGGCTAGGTGAGGTTTTGTGGGGTGGGGGTGCATACAGCAATAGGAAACTCTGATAGTACATTGGTTCTAAGTGTTCCCCAAAAAGGTCCAGAATGTTTGAGACCACAGTCTGAGGCCTTCAAACCAAGGGCACGATTCTGAAGGTCAGGACCCATGGGCAAAGGCCAGAAGCCTGGAAGTCAAGATCAGAGGCCCACGACCAAGGCCAAAGTCCTGCAGGCAGAGGGAGTGAAATTGAGGGTCAGAGACTAGGGACCGTGTCAGGGGAAGGCGGGGCTCTGGCAGCTCACTCTCGCAAGGTGCTGTTGAAATCCTGGAACTGGGTCTCCTGCTCCCCGCCCTGCAGGACCTTCTGCACGTCCGAGACCCGCTCCTTCCACAGCCGCAGCCTCAGGAGGGTCTTGCTGTAGCCCTGAGAGAGAGCGGAGACAGGCGCCGGTTCCCACAGCGGGGTTCTTTGCCGTCCTGGCCCCGCCCCACCCACAGGCAGCCGGCTTCCAGCGACACAGCACCCAGGGCACAGTGAGGAACAGACCGAGACATGGCGCCAGGGACTTGGACTTGGGCCCCAATGCCGACGTGCGGCTCCGGGGAACCGAGAACAGGGGTCACCTGTTTCAGCAGGTCAGACAGCTGCAACTCATCCTTCTGTCCTGCTAGCTCCTCCTTGACCTCTGAGTAAGTGTCATTGATGATGGCCAGGAACATGTTCTGGAGAAAGAGGCATAGGTCCTCACCCCCAGGCCCCTGAAAACCCTGAATCCCGTCACCCCATTCTCGTCCCAGCTGTGCTCTCCAGGGGCCAGTGCCCTTGACCCTGACCCTGCCGCCCCGCTCCCCACCCTCAGGGTCTCAGAGCCCAGCCTCTCAGCACGGTTCTGCTAGGCACGGGTCGTGCTTCCCGTCAACTGGTATTCTCACTCTCACCCGTGACCTTCCTGATCACAGGGATACCCCAGCTCAGGCCCCAGGCCTCCCAGGGAGGACCTGACAGTTACCGAAGCCAGGAGTCGTTCAGGGCAAGCGCACTACCAAGTTATCACCACCATCTGCCCCAGTGATGTTTGTACCCCCGGTCACTGATCAAATAAAGACACTTGCTGGCCTCGTGGGTACAAATCAAATCCAGATCTTTCGGGCTGCTAGGGAGAGAGGACAGCTGCCAAGCAGTGGCAACGGCAGTCAGCAAGAGGTCCCAGAGCAGGGGCGTCCTGGAGAGCAGCCTAGAAGCTGCTCCCCATGAGGCAGGTGCAGCTGCTTCCCATGAGGCACTCCTCTCTCCCTTTCCTCCCTCGGAGGGTGGGGTGTGATTTCACCGAGGGGGTCTGCGGGTTCCTTGTGCTCGGCAAACTGACTGTCCTGGCCACGCGGATCACTTCAGCCACGCTTAGGAGCACTGGAAGTCCACCCCCAGCCGCTCCCCCTGGAGCCCGTCCTAAAGCTCCACCCTGCAGGCTCTCTGCTCCCTCACCCCCCAGGGAGACCCTTGCCCCTCAGGGAGACCCTCACCAGGAGCACAAAGAAGACAAAGAAGACATAGGTGACGAAGTAGACGGGGCCCAGGACGCGGTTGGCGTTGTCGATTGCATTGTAGTCAAAGTCCCCGAGGATGATCCGGAACTGAGTGAAGCTGAGAGGCCCGGTCTGGGCTTCACCCAGAGCCT